TGACTTCCGTGCGCAGGAGACAATTATTTTAGGTGGTGCAGGTTGAAGGTTGTCAGTGAAGTGTGTATGCAGTAACAGGGGAAGCAACACACCAGCCAATGTGTGGAGCACATAGCTTTTACAGAAGGAAAACCCCAGTGAGCACATGAAAGTAAAGCATGCATTTCCTATCTGTTTGCCAAGACTGGAACCTATAGGCCTACTGAAATGAACCTAAATTACACATAACTACAGATAGATGGATATGTGCATATGTTTACAGATAGACGCACATGCACACACAGACAAACACACAGAAAGCTTTTACTGCATATATTATTTTTACTGGTTGCTGGGCTCTTGTTAAGCAGGAAAGCCTTTCTGTAAAATGGTTAGTTTAACTGTAAGTTTGAGAAGCTGTCGAATAAGAAAACTGCTCACAACTACATGCCTAACCATTCATTGCTCGGTTTCAGTTAGCTGGATTTTATCAATGTCAGTGAGTATGCAATTGTTGACAGATAGGGGAAAGATTTCTTTTGAAACTCACACCAAAGCCTTGAGGAGTGTCTGTTCGGGCAGAGGCATCTTTTTAAAGGTTGTATTTATTTATTTGACAGAGAGAGGCACAGCGAGAGAGGGAACACAAGCGGGGGGAGTTCGAAAGGGAGAAGCAGGCTTCTCAGGGAGGAGGGAGCCCGATGCGGGGCTCCATGTTGGGGGTCGATCCCGGGACTCTGGGATCATGACTTGAGCCAAAAGCAGGTCTGCTCAACCCACTGAGCCACTCAGGCGTCCCAGGCAGGGGCAGGTTGAGCCCTCCGCAGTGGACTGTCAGTTTCTCCACTGCAGTTGAAGACCAGCCTCCACAAACAGAACAGCTGCTCTGGACTCACAGTCGGTCCCCATTCCTTTCTGAACAAGACATACAGTTAGCTTGATTTGCACCAACTATCCCTGGGGTGAGCGTGAGTAAAATCACAGGGGAATCGTATGAAGACCGAAAGCAAGGGGTTCCAGATTTAAAATGAACCACTACCATTGCCTCCCCCACCCAACAACAACAACTGCAAGCTTCAGCAGTTTCTACTAAGAATAACCTCCTGAGAAGGGAAGATTCCACTCTTTGTTTCTAGAGCTTACCATTTAATGAAATAGATAAGATTTCTGTTTCCATGGCTCAGAGATTTTCCATGATCCCTCAGTTGATTTGACCTCTTATTCTCTACGGGTAATTTAGCAGAGAGAAATATGTCCATGTACATCCTGGGCCTAATTTCTGTACAGTAGTGTTTTGAACAGTCATCACTGTGCTAAGAATCTTAGGAACTTCCCTGCTTACATAAAGGGAACCTAGGTTTTGGGCAGGCAGGGGCGCAGGGGATCGAGAATAGGAAACAGCGCCCCCTGGAGGAAGATGGTGAAACAAAGCTGGCGGAGAAACTGCTGGTGAATGAGGGGTGGCCCTAAAGCCCGCTTAACTTTTGCAGCTCTTGTTCTGCGATATCCCCAACCGTAAAATAGGTATTTTCACATCAGTCTTCCTGTTCATCTTCTTATACTCGAGAGTGTAATAATACCATGCAGGTCAGAGGCTCTTGACCTTTTCCTTCTAAGGAACCACTTGCGATTTATCCAAAATTTTATGTGTTCCCATATTTGGCTGTTTTTAAGATCAGTAAGAGATACCATCAGTGGGAATGCCAAAATTGTGAAACATCAGGAAATTAAGGAATCATGAGGTTTCGTGCGTATATATTGGGGGAGGTGAAACAGGTTTTCACTTCTGCCATAGCGGATTGGAGGTACTGGGGTTTCCCCCGACTTCCTGACCTACAGGGCGGTGACCACGCCTTCCTCTGGGGTGGTCCCTGGCCTGGAAGTCCACAGCTTTTGGTCACAACGGTCTAGTATCTACTGACCCACTGGAGACTGGGGAATACACCACTGCTATTTTTCTTATCATCCTTCTAGTTTCCAGATAATTTCTCAGAGCAATATGCTTACGGCTAGTTCTTTAGTCTTATTCTATTTTATCTCTTCTCTTAGAATATCAATTACATTTGCTTTTTAAACTGTTTAGCAGTTGTCCTTAAATTTGTTTGCATATACATGAATAAATAACCTAAGTCGGCCTTTAAACAGCACCATAGAGCTGCAGATACCTTTCAGGGTCTACTGGTGAGCCCTTCAAAGGCATTCTTAATTTGTTACATTGTTGTGGATTCCTAGCATTTTCTTCATATTTTTCTTAGTTTCCATCTCCAAGCTTACATTACCCATCTGTTCTTTCATGGGGTCTACTTTTTTCCATTGGAGCCCTCAGTGTATTAATCAGTTGTTTTAAATTCCTTGTTTGATAATCCCAACATCCGTGTCATATCTGAGTTTGGTGGCAATGCCCTCAGATTGTGGGTTTTTTTCCTTGTTTGTTTAGCATGCCCTGTGATTTTTTGTTAAACTCCAGCCCTAAAGGCCTTTACTGTGAGAGTTTATGTTAATCTGGCTAGGAGCTGGACTGTGTTTAACTTTTGTTGTAACTGTAGGGGTCAGAGGCTTCAGCTTCCTCTAGGGTCCCTGCTTGTGTGTCCTCTGTTGTTTTGGGTCTTCCCTAAGACTTCCTCCTCACAGTCTACACCTTGTTCTTTCCGCTCTTTCAGTTTTAACTCATTTACATTTGATTCCTGTTGATATGGTGGCAAGCTGTAGCGGAGTGGAAGCATTCTACAATTCTAATAATTAAATCTGTCTTTTAGGGCCTGTGTCTCTGGGCTTTGACCTTCACAAGGGTTTTTTGGTATTATTACTATTATTGATGTTGTTGTTTTACCATTAAGGTGAGATAGGAAGGCTTGAGGGGGCTGGAATTGGATTAAAGCCCTTCTTCCCTGCAGGAAGTCAGGGAAGGCTCTGCTCAAGTCTCTTCCCCTAGAAAGTAGGGCTTTCTCATGGAGAATGTTTAGGGCATATCTCAAAATGGTTATCTTTCTCCTCCACCTGCCAGAGCGGGCAGGAAGTATCTATTGACTCTTTGCCTTAAGAAACTGATGGAATTCCTGGAGGTAAAACCCTTGAAACTCTGGAAAATCCCCTATGACTGTGGCCGCCAGGAGTTTCTCACACTCAACCCACACTCAGCACCCAGTAATTTGTTAAAATTGCCATCTGAGTGATCCTGCCAGTTTGACTCAGGTAGCCTCTACCTTAGGTAAGGAGAGCTCAGCTGTGAATTTCTGTATTCACCCTTCCCTACAAATTTCACGACAGCAGTTTGTCTTGCAACCTCACATCTCTGATGAGTACAAGAAAAGGTATTGATTTTCAGGGTTTTTTTTCTTTCATTTTTTGCTATTATTGTCTTAAGGGCAGGAGTGATAACTTGCAAACTCTTTACACATTGGATCTGAAACCAGCAGTCTGGTTGTATAATCCTGCACCAGTTAACATCTCTATATCCATTTCTCCCTTTATGACATGGAGATAATAAACCTTTTAGGCCTACTTCATGTTATTATTTACTTTACAATGCTTTATAAATGGTAAAGCACTAAGTTACATAGGGGTTATTACCAACTTGTCAACATCCCCCACAAATTTGTGGAGTTGTCACCAGGCAATAACTATTAAGCCAGGAATAACATTTCCTAGCTCCCTTGAAATTGTTCTGTTCCCAAAGAATGAAGTAGGAGACATGTGCCCAACTGGTCCATAATAATGTCTCCAGCGCTCCTCCATGCTCATTACCCTTCTCCTAGAAGGAGAGGATGAGACCCTGGAAATGATGGAACCATATAATGGAAGAAAAATCCCTGCCTACAAGGAAGACTATTGGTTGTTATGTGTGCAAGAAAATCATTTTATTGTCTTAAGCCACTGAAATCTTGGTGTTTGTTACAAAAGCTAGTGTTATCCTATCTAATAAAGAAATTAATACCTTAATACTAGAGCTAGTTACTTATATATATGACCTACTAGTTAGGTGCTGAGTGTTGCAAAAAAAAAAAAAAAAAGATATTGTAGACTAGAAGGATTGAGACTCAGGTCACACTGTGGTACAATATTGAGTGAAACTGTCACCTGGGATAAGAATGACAAAGAGAAAATAGACTGTTTTGTTATAAAAATTGAGTGTTTAAAGATTCCAGACAATAGGAAATAAGATTGAAAAATACCTGAAACAAAGGCCCATTAAGATTTGTCAGGTGAACAGTGACTCAGCCTGAGGAGAAGAAAGATTATGGATGTGATATTCTCATCCAAGTCTTGTTTAAGATGGCTTTAGGGTAACAACTATTGACAGGGAGACTGCCCTGGGGGCAAGGAAGCAAAGCTATACTTTCTGCTCCCTACACCTTCCCTGATCCTTCCCATATACCTGCCACTTCCACTGAAACTTTCCCCACTTACCAGGGGGCCTGTGCTGCCCTGTTCCACCACTTCCCACGCCTCTCCTCTCTTGTGAGCTTGTTGTCCCGGGTTCAGGTCTGGAACCTCACAACCCTGGTGGTAAGGCTCAGAATATGTACCTTGAACAAGTTAAATTTCATCCAGTGGGGTGGCAAGGCCTGCTTCTTCTCACATAGCCACCATCTTGATTATTCCCCTCTCCTAATCCAGGTTTCTGCTGTTTCCTGTTTCGGGGGATTCCGGCTGAACAGGCCATACTGGGGTTTAGGGGGGGGGAAGCAGGGGTATGGTAGGGGTGTGGGGGGAGTAGGGTGAAAGGTGAAGGGTCGAGTGTGGGGCATGGGAAACCAACATCCCTGAGAACCTTCTGGGACCCCTCCCTGGTCAGAGGCTCTTCCTCCCACACCCCTGAGTTAAAGGCTGCCTGCATGTGGTGATCTGCTGCATCTCTATGTACAGTTAGCCACTATGAAAATCAAATTTCATCTTGGCTCTCAACCCTTCACTGTAATGGTTTTTGGAGCTAAGACCAATAAAACTAAAATGTGTGAGGAGAGAAATCCAGTAAGAGAAAGCAACTTAAGATACAACCCTATTAAGTCAGCCTACAATCATTAAACTTTTAAACTTAAGATAGGGATTGCCCTTCCTATCTTAAGACCACTCCTGGGACGCAGAGTGGCTTCTTACTTCTTTTAAATCCGGGCTTAATGTTACTTCTGAGTTCTCATCTAGACTTTCCCAGGGGTTGCCCTCTGGCTGCCCATCTCTTCCTTACCCAGAGGCAGAGGACATGCTCCCTGGCAGGTGGGGCACCCCTCTGGCCTGGCCTCACAGCAGTGGTGGGGTGGGGGAGTGTGGGGGGCAGCGGAGAAGGGTCCCATTGATTGGGACTGTTGGGAGAGGGAGGTCCTGGCTGTTGCCAGTAAGGACACCAGGAAAGAGGCAGTCAGGTTTGCTCCAGGTTTCTGCCATTAATCTCCCTCTGAGCAGTGTCGGAGGATAAAGCTGCTTCAGGAGACAGAGGCATGGACGCTGTCTCAGGCTCCGAAGGGAGGCAGTGAGTTCTGGAGGTGGAAGGAAGCCAGACGTCCTCAGTGAATGGTGAGGGCTGAGGGGCTGCATAGTTCCAGGGGGCCGTGCAGGGTCAGGAGCCCCGCTGGGTAGGGAGGGCTGCAGGAATGCAGGTTTTGGACACACTGTGGAATGCCCAGGAGAGGTTGTGGTGGCAGTCTCTACTCCTTTGGCAAAATGTTAGGAAAATGAACGAAATGCTAGAGAAAAATGACCTAAATCTAAATGCCAGAAGTAGGGGGTGGGGCTGGCACCCCAGTGTCCAACCTTTTGTTTCTAAAAGGAAGTGCTATCTTTTTAAATTAGGACTGACTTTAAGGCCTTAAATTCACATGTTATTCAGACTTACGTTTCAAACAGAAAGAGGTAATCAGCTCATCAGGTATGAGATGATTTTAACAAGACTCCGCTAAAACTTCCTAGAAAATAACTCCTTTACATCCTTTGCGTGTCAGTTGAGGATAAAAGGCTACCACACTGGCTGCCCTTCATCAACGCAGCCAACGGTCACGCTCAAGCCTTGCCTCCCCTCCACAGTCCTGTCACCAGCAGCCATCTAAGCGGCCAGAGCCGCCCCTCACTTCCGCCGGGCCTCAAGGACCACATGTAGCCACAGAGCACGTTCCCTGGAACTGCAGCACATGGCAGGTTTGGCACATATTTTTTATTTCCTTTTACTTTCACATTTACAAACTCAGGAAGCCATTTGGAGAAGGGGGAGGTTGAGGCTGCCTTAAGAAAACCTGGGCTCGTGGGCACCACACGGACTCGGGCCCTCAGGACTTCTCACAGGGAAGCCTGGCCGGTCTCCCCGGAGCCCTCACTGTCACAGACATCTGAAACAGTAGCTATGGAAGCCTCCATGCCTGGAAGACGCCTCGGCCCGGGGTTTTATTGCTGGTGAATTTGATTATCCAACTTAAGAGTCCAGGACAATGGCCTTATCAGAAATGGGTCCAGTGGTAAGTCTTTTGAGGAGATGAAAGGAAACTGGCATGTGTACACTGCACTGATTCTGCGGTGCCGGCCTGGGGCCCAGGCTTGCCTCTGGCCTCGGAGGGCCCTGCAGATAGGCATTGTCCATCCAGAGGCAACAAAGAGGAGAATAATCAGAGTAGGCGTGCTCAATCCCACAGCAGCTGGAGCGCCAGAACCCAACCAGCATTCCCTTTCCCCCTGCTACATGTCCCTTAAGGCCCCCCAAGATGTTCCCTCTCTCAGGTGGAAAGAATATACACAAGAATATACACACCCCTTTCCAAAGTTGCATCTCTTGGGCTGAGGGGAGACAACTGTTTGGCAGGCAGTTTAGAAACATGGACTAGAGGTACCTAGGCATAGATCCTGGAAAGATGGACTGCTGAAAAGTACCCTCGGGTCACCTCTGAGTTTCACAGGAACAAAAGAGTCATGGAAAGAATGGTTTGCCTCTGTGATTATAGCAGCGCCAAGATGAAAGCCAGGTGTAATTTTATTACTCAGATTTGATCCTGTATTAGCCCCCTGTGATTTTTGCAGACCATTAGCTTCTCCATCTCTCCTCAAAGTGCTGGGTGCCATTCTTGCAATCCTTCAGTGACGGGCGGGACCACCTCCCTCTCCAGGGGAGCCTCTAGTGGGTCTGACAAAGGAGGGAAATGACTCCTCCACCATGTAATTTTTCTTCCTAGACTGTCGGATTGCAAATGTTTGGTCCCATTCCCCTTCTGAGGAGAGTAAAGGCCTAATGGCATTGATAGGGGAGGGGACCGAGGGGGGATCTGCCAGAGCCTTCAGTGCACCTTATGTCCAAACTAAGTTGTAACGGTCAGGGTCCAGCTTCATCGGCCGAGGCATGCCCAGGTCCATGGGAGGCTGCGGCGTCTCCAGAAAGAGTGGAGTGGAGGACAGGACTTTTCTGTGCTCACATCTCCCACCTGGTTAGCCTCTGGTCTAACAGATATTTGAATTCACAGTTCTATACATTAGTTTAACAAAAAATCTGGCTTCTGATACCCGAAGAGTTTAAAGTCCCCTTCAAAACGTGCATATAAGCGCCGGATGTCCCGTTTGCTGATGCCCAGGAAGTAGCGCTCCACCTTGGTTTTATTGTACACGGTAATGCCTGGAGGGATGGTGGGGTAAGACACCAGGTGGTCTATGCCGGCTTCTTTTAAGATGTAGGGGGCATCGTCCTCCAGGGTCTCATGGTGACCGATCACACTGTACTTTATCTCGCAGGGTGCGCACAGTTCAACATACGTCACCCAGTGAATGATGTGGTCCCCAAACTGAAGGTCCAGCCATCTGTGGTTTGGATCGCCCAAGTACCGTACAAAATCTTCGAACTGGATGCCCCTGGTCTCTGTGCGGTTCTTCCTGTATTTCCTGATGATGCCCGGGGCAATCTCGTGCCTGTACCATGGCTCAAAGCGGGGGTTGTGAACAAACTTATCTTTAAATGCAGAAATCAGTCTTTCGAAGGGATCTCTGACAATAAAAAACTTAAAATACGTTTTCAAGCTAAGAAGAGAAATGAAGAGAAACATGCAGTTAGGCCACTGGCTGCCAGTGGTAGCCAGGGTGAGGGGGCACGAGGGCAGAGTGCCTGCTGGAGCGGCAGTGGCCGCGGCGGCCAGAACGCGCCCTCTGGTGAAGAGCGAGTTCCACGCATTTCTGAATCCACCCAGCCGCCTTCGGCAGCAGAGCCTGTTAATGGCCCACCTTATGGTGAGGAAAGAGAGGTTCAGAAACCATTAACTGTCCCAGGCCACAAGACTCATCACCCCAGAGGGCCACCGTGAAGACACTACTTAGCTCAACTGATACTCAAATATTTCAAAACTTCAAAGATGTTTGAAAGACTTGTTTTGGGATACAGACCTGATAAGGTCAGGAACCCTGAGTGAGGTAGGAATGGTGAAGACCAGAGGAAGATACTTTAAGGGACCTCTGTATAAACACAATTCGCAGTTGCCAGGGGAAGGGCCAGCCAGAGTAGGGGGCAGGTGAGAGGGGGAGCGGCGAGGTTGTAGCTCTAGCTGGCAGGAAGGTGGCCCAGGGCGCTGCCCACAGTGGTGGGGGTGGCGCAGAGGCAGCCGTGGGACAGGCCTGTTACGCTGCTGACAGAATAATGACAACACTGGCCACCGCCGTAATTACGGTGCCTACTCTATGCCGGAAAACGGCTCATGGCCCTATACGCCTGAGCTCATCTTCTCTCACAAGAGCCCCCAAGACACCAGCGCTCACCCGGACAGACAGGCCCGCACTTAGCTGGGGACCTCTCAGATGCCGCATCTAACACCTGCGTTCTACAGGTTTTGCACAAACTGGGAAGACTAAACAATCAGCACTAGAAGTAATGAGAATCAAATAGCCAAAAAGCAAGGGAGGTCAAAGTTCCTTTGGTGCCCTGACATCGACTTGCCGCTCATGGGTTCAGATCCTTCTGAGCCTTGTTCTGCAGTGTCATTTCACAGCTAATAACAAGAAATTTTCAGTTTCCTAGCTAAGTCATTTTTAACATGCCTAGTCTCTATCCTCGCTGTGATCAGTGAAGTCTGACTCTCTTTGCCTGTGTTAGGTCCAGTCCCCACCACCTGTCCTCCCGGCAGCTACCACGGAAGCAGATGCAAGGCCTCTGGAAGAAAATTTTAAAAATTAAGTGGGGTTCCCCTGTAATCCAAATCCCCTCCCTGTGACCTAAAGGTTATATTCAGTAAAGAATCCATAAAACTTAACAGAATCAAAGCAGAACAAAAATGACTATTCATTTCTATTAAGAAAATTATATAACCTTTGTTTTAATGGACTGTATGAAGGTAAGGGTGGAGAAGATTTTCTGAAATTCTCACAAAGGTTTGTGAATTTAAATGCACTGAACATGGGGCATGTGCTCAGCTACCTCTCACAAATGTAAACCAAAAGGCCCCAGCCGTCCTTGGAGCAATCTGAGGCATATGGCAAGGACAGACATGAGCCTCGGGTTTTACCCAAATTCCCCTCCCCTTAGGAACCTACTCCTACCGCTTCTGAATTTCTGCATCACTGAAGGAAGATAGACGAGGGAGGCCATTCTTCTCATGGTCATGAACCACATTTTCAGGGATCTCTTCAATGGAAGGAAAAGCTCCTGGGAAGGAAACATGGGAGAACAGGTTGGCTGCCTCAGTGCTACCCTTAAAGGAAGATGCCTGGTCTCTTACCTTGGCCCCCATGTTCCCTGCAAGCTCCCCTTAAATCCCAGTTTAGGTCCTTTAATTCCAACTGCTTCTGCCAGCAGGATGAGAGAGTGAAGAAAAGCTTCTGGTAATCCATAAGCCAACTACAGGAAACAGACAAGTTGGGGTGGGGAGAGCAGGAAACAAGGGGGGGCGGCGGTAAACACTGCTAATACCTACCCCTGGCAAAACACCTAAATTAGGTGAAATTGTACATTTAAAAAAAAGATCCCTGTGTGCAGAAAGGATTCCTAAAATGAGCAATACTCATTCTACTTTGAAACTGGGGGGAAATGCCAGAGCAGCAGGACCAAGAAACATACTGCTGGCTGATGCCCCCATTGGGGGCCCATCATCCCCAATGGGCTTGGGTCTCCCAGCTCCACATCCCTAAGCCTAAGGTGGTTCCTAGGCAATGTCACCACATTCCAGACTACAAGTGGAAAAGCCAACTGGTGCTGGGAAAACCTGGCCAATGCTGTGGGAATAGTGTGATATAGCTGAGGCAGGGGACGAGGAGGACAAAGTGTCTAGGAAGGCAGGACAGGATCAAAGCCACAGAGCCCAGGTCAGTGCTGGGGTCTTGGGTGGACCCCATCCTCAGGTTGGTGGACTGGGCGGGTTTTTCATTCTCTTACAAATAGACACAAAGCATCGATATCCACGAAGGTTCTAGCCAAGCCTCCACAAACCTTCCCGTCTATCGTTGTGTTAATCCTGTCGTGTTGCAGTCTGGCAGGGAAGGATCTCTGTTGGGCCATCTACCAGCAGCCACTGGATTGACTGTTTGATTCACCCCTCCTCCCAAGGATGTAAGCTCCAGAACTCTGTGCTAAGTGCTATGGATGGCCACGAAATGAGCCAGACAAACATCTGCTCTTGAGGGGTAATGGAAGAACCAGCTCTGGACCTGCTCAAGTACTTGTCCCCATGCAGGCGTCTCTAGGGCTGACCGAAGAGAGCCACAAGGCCCATCTTCTATTTTATGACCTGGCAAACCTGCCCCCATTTTTTTTTTTTATAAACATATATTTTTATCCCCAGGGGTACAGGTCTGTGAATCGCCAGGTTTACACACTTCACAGCACTCACCATAGCACATCCCCTCCAATGTCCATACCCCCACCCCCCCACCCAACCCCCCTCCCCCCATCAACCCTCAGTTTGTTTTGTGAGATTAAGAGTCACTTATGGTTTGTCTCCCTCCCAATCCCATCTTGTTTCATTTACTCTTCTCCTACCCCCTTAACCCTCCATGTATACCTGCCCCCATTTTTATCCTGTACTTCTAAATTGGTGTTTACTTCTTTAAAGTCTAATGCTTTGAACTGTGGTGGCAGATTTATAAGACTTTTGTGTATTCATTGTTTTAAATTTGATTTGTGACCTCATTTTTTGGATATCAAAAATCCAATACACTGTCAGATTACTCAAGAATCACATTAGTTATACACCAGAAGCTGAGGCAAGTATCTCCCACCCCCCTCGCCCAACAACCACAAAAAGGCCAAATGAAGCAACCAGGAAAAGGACGTGGACCACCCACTCTGAGCACAGCAGCAGGGGTGGTGGGCTGGAGGACAGAGACCACAGGGCTGCCTCCCACGGAGCTCTGAGGGCTGATCCTGGCCTGGAGTCAACTGCTGCTGAAGGGAATTATGTTCCTTTTGAGGCTGAAGTTAACAGACAGAGCCCATAATTATCTTGGACCAATGCAGGGTAATTGGGGTTTAAACAAACAAACATGGTATCTGAAAAGAGCAGTGAGTAATCAAAACCAGTAGAGTATGAGGTCACTTTTCAACGACCTAATTTGTTCCCAAATAAACATCCGATTTCCTGAAGCAAGTTGATTCAATCTTCTGAATATGGAAGCTCAGTATAAAATGGGGACCCTTCTTTCTAGCCATGTGGCACAGAATACTTCACCTGTGGTTGAAGGGGCCCCCAGGTCCACCTGGTAGGGCTCCCTTCCCAGGCATGGGTGCAGGCGCTTCCCCTACAGAGGGGCAGCCGGGAGGCCAGTGAGTGTGGAGCCTCAACGTAACGGGACAGAGCCAACCACCAGTAAGGTGCCCAGGCAGTGCACCGAAGAGAAGAAAAGCGATCAGCGCAGGGGAGGGGGCTGGTGGAGGGGGATGGACAGACTGCTTGAGACAGGAATTCCACTCTGGAAAGTGAGGAAAGGAGATTCTGACCACAGATGTGGCCCTTTGAAAACCTCAGTATCTAAAACTTTCAAGCCACCAGCTTTGAAAGTGTTGGGCTGGCAGGGATACTTAAGATGGCGAAAGTTCCTGCCACAAGACCTGAGCTCGGACAGGAGAACAAAGGCCCAAGCAGGAATCTGAGACCCCTGCCCCGGGCTCCTATGGACCAATGGGACCCCGACGAGCAGGTGAAATATCCAAATAAGGGAAACTTGCCAAAAGACCCCTGAGCTCCCCTCGAGACTCCTTAAAAGGCCCCTCCTCCCTGCCTTAGGCACGACTTCCGCCACTCTGCTTTCCAGAGTCCTGGAACCTCGCCCGAGGGTGCCCACCTCCTCCCGGCGCAACTTTCCTGGCTCCCCTCCTCCTGAGCCCTGAAACTCCGCCGGAGAGTGCCTTTAATAAATCTTGCCTTGCACCCACTTTGCCTGGTGTTGTGTTTATCTCGCCGGAAAAACTTTACAGAAAGTACACCACCAACAGGGGAAACACTCCAGAGAACCATCCATAAGGTTACCAGCCCTTCCACAACTGTCCCTGCCTTTGGCCCTGCTCTGCTGCCTCCATTGCCCAGCCCCAGGCTGCTGCCTCCCAGCCCCCATGCCCCCAGCCAGGCAAACCCTGCTGTCCACTGACCACAGACATCCACCCAGCCCTGCACGCACCATTTAACACGATCAACACTTTCTTCCACTGGGTGTTGCCCACTTTAGGAGTCTGGCAGAAAAGAATCTTGTGCTTGTCACAGACGAATATCCGGTCCAGGACAAACTTGGAGACCGCGGTGTGCGAGAGATTCTTCAGGGCTTCATCCCTGCAGACGTTTCTGATGAGTTCCAGGCGCTCCACATAGACGAGGGGTTGAACAAGCCGGCTGTCTGAAGGCACCTTCCCAGTGGGCTGCAGGTAACAAGGAGACAGAAGCAGCCCAAGGGCTCAGTCAAAAGCAAACAGCAGTGAGCCTGCAGGAGCCCCCTGGAGAGGCCCTGCCCCCTGACCTCATGCTGCCTGCTGACACGCAAGGGCGAGAACCAGAGCTGGGTGGAGAGGACGGGGGAGACTCCTTCAGGGGCCTGGCATTCAGGCGACATGGATGGGCTAGACCAAAGCTCAGCCAGAAACACGAGGAGGCTCCTTCACCCTCAGCGGCTCAGACGGAGGAGGAGGCGCGGCTGGCCACTTTGCTGATGGCAAGCATTAGGGACCATAATGGGACACAGCAGGATACTTTGCATTCCGGGATTTCAGTGAAGGCCAGGTTCCACCCCCTTCCTTCTCCCTAGCACTTCCCTCCACATAATTCTGAGTGTACGTGTGCGGACAGTACGTGAGGACCAGTCACCTACACACGTGCAGTTTCAGACTCTGGTACACCGGTAGAATGGTTTATTAACTAGAGAAACACACCCTAGGTCATTCAGTACAGGTTTTCAAAATGCTGAAGCCATTATTCCATCTCCTCAGTGACAAGCACGTGGTTATGCCTCTCTGGCATGCAGTTTAAGGAGAGAGCTCTGTGTGGTAGTGATGTCTGCTGTCCTGGAAGCATGGCCCCTGTGGGCAAGTGCTGGAGCATGCCGGCACTGGTTTCTGCCGTGTCCTCCCACCAGGCGGGAAGTCCATGTGAGCAATGGGCAAAGACTCTGATCCAGAAACCCTGTCTCCCAGGAAAGCGGGCCTGGGAGTGAGCAGACGTCGACCACAGGGCCTGGGGGTGAGGGGCGTGGTCTCCGGCTGGTTTGAGGTTGGGTGCACCTGCTGGGGTGCACTGCTGGGGCACTACTGGGGCTGTGTTTACTCTGCGACGTCTCGATTCTGAAGTGTTTGATCACCTCGGAGTTATCTGAAATAGGTCTCTCAGAAGCTTTTCCCCTCAAAACCAGTGTAATTTCGTGTGTGTGTGTGTGTGTGTGTGTGTGTGTGTGTGTGTGTAGAGCTAGGATGGTTCCTCTGCAGCCTTCACACACGGAGTCATCACTCTCCCTACGTGGGCTCCAGATGGCACCCAACACTGCAGCTGTTGTCCGCAGCCCACCCTACCCACCCTTGCCTCAACTGCCACTCTTTGTGGGCAACCCATTTTTAATACCTGGGTGCTGGTCAGATTTTCTCCATAATGTTTCAGCACATTACACATTTTACCAGGATAAGTCAGTGTGGGCTTCTCTGCGGATTTGCCTGGAAGGCAGGGAGCTCTGTCTACCTGCATCCTCGGCTCAGAAAATGTCCTTTTTCCTCAGGACGCTTAGGCAGGAGTGGAGCTCACATGTGACAGTGTGTGGAAGTCATCTGAGGTTAGGAGGTAGGCGGGGGCTTCTGGGTCAGAGTGTCCTGCAGCTCACACAGATTTTCCCACCTGGTAGGAGGACTCTTTATTTTTATTTTTTTTTTTTAAGATTTTATTTATTTATTTGACAGAGAGAGATCACAAGCAGGCAGAGAGGCAGGCAGAGAGAGAGGAGGAAGCAGGCTCCCTGCTGAGCAGAGAGCCCAATGCGGGGTTCGATCCCAGGACCCTGAGATCATGACCCGAGCCGAAGGCAGCGGCTTAACCCACTGAGCCACCCAGGCGCCCCCGGAGGACTCTTTAGAGCAGAAACCAGGACCAATGTGCCCCAGCATTTGCTCACATTGGCTATGCTTACATACGACGGACACTACTACTAAGTATAACCCGTCCCCTCTGATTACAAATAGTTTAAGAGGTATAATTGTGTGCTTACTCAGGAGATGGGAGTCTTATACCATATATTTGTTATACCATATATTTGTTATACCTCAATGAATGTCTTTAAAAAAGGAGACATAAAAAAGTTCTGACGGTGGTTGAAGAGAGCTATGGATTGCAATGGGCCATAGTTGCTGTTTTTTCCTTATAATGCAGGATATTTCTTTAAAATACATGAGTATATCTTCCTTCTTCATAAAAAAAAACCTTGGTTTAAAAATATTGGCTGGTGGGGGAGCACCTATAAAGACTTCTACAAAGTTCTATTAAACTGTTTCAAGTCCTCTGTGAGTGATTTCTACCACATTTGGGTACTTTTTGTATCCAAAGGTGGCTCTGCAAACACATTTATGTCTCTCTTCCTTCAGCATGATCTGCAGCAACTAAAAGCCACAACTCTGCCAGAACACCCTCTGAATTTCCTTCCAGGGCTTACCTGTCCCTTTCTTAATAGCCATGGGCCCCTTCTCATCTTTCCTTCCTCCCCTTTTCTACAGAAAGACAGCCACTATTTCTAGCCACTTCCTGAAGTGCCCCATAAATCAAAGATGAGTCAGTATGGTTGGCAAGGAAAGGAAACGCAAAATGGGTTTGACTTTCCTTCTTATGAGAAAGTTGACTTAAAAAAACAAAAAAGACGAAAAAGTTCAAGTTCCAAATCATGCCAGATACACTTTGGGACTGCTTTAGAACCCAACACAGTATCTATAACAGAAAAGGGCTTTTGTTAACACTTGACTCAAAACTCTACTGCTCTGTCACTCGGCAGAATGAACTGTTCGACAAATATTTATCGAGTCTTTACTCTGTGCTTGGATGTAGTTGCAAGTGTTCTGTGGAGACACTGGGAAAGCCTCAGCTGAGGAAGAACATGTGGCACTGTCCACATATGTGTGTGTACATGCAGAAGTGGGGGTAGGAGGTGAGGAAGACAGAGTGGTCAGCGGGAGACATGCCAGCAGTTCAGTGCCACTGTGTCCTCAGCGACTTACTAACCCCTCCCCGTTCACATTACGGTGGAATGTCTGCCCACAGAGATCTTCTGGCTTTCCAAGAAGCATCCCAAAAGGTAGTTCTGAATAAGAGTCTGTTCCTCCAAGTCCACTCCTTTGGCCACCTCAGTCATGGCCCTTTCCCTCAGCCCTTTTCCTTGAAATGTTTCTGCTGCTGTTTACTGTCTATTCATTCCCTTTAAGTTACACAGAATTTCTTCCCAAGAATTCAAACCAGACGGTCCCCTAACTTAACTTTACTAAATGGACCTAAATGCCCTTTTGTCTGTTAAAATGCACTAGGGTTTTAAAAAAAAAATGCACTAGTGTATTTAGGCAATCCATTTATGGGGCAGTTGTAAAACTAGTCCTCCCCCAGGGACTGGGTCAGTTACAAAATGGGGAGAAGAGCATGGCTGGGATAACAGAGGTTTCCACCCCTCCACCCCAGCTCCCTGGTCTTCCCTCATGGATCTGCCATAACCAAACTCCCTGACATAGTTTCTCACATGTATGACAATTTCTTGGGTTACCCTGGTGAAGGGAAATGTCTTCCTTAGGTCAACACATTCTGGAAGTGAGGGTGGGCACCCGCAGACTTGCCCGGCTCTGATCCTTCACGGGGACCTCCCTTCCTCCCCAGGGCGCACGAGCACAAGCCTGCCACACTGGCCCCTGCCTTCCTGCTTTCATAAATGGAGTCTAATTTAACCTCATTCCCTCCTTCACCCCAACTCTTGCTCCCTTCTCTCCTCTCCTCACTCCATTCCAATTGCTTCAAACCTCAGCTCTAACCTGGATTGCGAATGACACTCAGGAGCTGTGCATCTCAGGGCAACTCCAAACAAGAACTCTTGAGAAACTGCAGAAAAATCTCCCTCATTTTCAAAACTGTTCTTCAAGCTTAAGCATTGTATATAAAGAAAAACCATTTCTCATTCAGCTGGGCTTATAGACTGGCATGGTTTTGTTTTCTTCCTTTGCAAATATACTAAGTGAAATGCATTATATTAGTTTCAGGTATACAAACACATTGATTCGACAGCTGCACAAAATAGACCTTTAAAGGCAAGCAACACAACCTAATTACATTTATAAGTCTCCTTTCTTTTGGAAAGACAGATGCTGAGTTTAAACATCTAATGACCCCCGGTTTCAGAGAATCATGTCTGACCGCTGTTTCCTACTCTCTTTACCTTGCATCTGAGTTTCGTGAGCATCAAGGGGACAGGGAAGCAAGAATAGGGGACAGAGGACATTTAGTTGAAAGTCCCAGCCCACTACTTGCTGTCCCTGACATACTGGCTCTGTTCCTTGAGCCTCACACTTTCCAAATGCAAAATGAGAGTAAAATACTTACAGCACAGGGGTGACTGGGTGGCTCAGTTAGTTAAGCGTCTGCCTTCTGCCCAGGTCATGATCCCACGGTCCTGGAATCGAGCCCCACATGGGCTCCTTGCTCAGCTGGGAGCCTGCTTTACCCTCACCTCCCTACTCGTACTTACTCTCTCTCTCTCTCTCGCTATCTCTCTCTCAAATAAATAAATAAAATCTTAAAAAAAAATACTTACAGCTCAGAGGGCTGTTTTTGAGGACCAGTAAGATTAAAACCCAGTGAAGTCTTCTGTGGACTGCAAGGCATGTTCTGGTGCAGTATTTCCAACCACGATTACTTCCGCAGGCCCACAGTCTTTGCAGGAAGAGTGCTCCTCCGTCCCTCAAGAGTGACCTCCCAGGATGGTCACTTTTGTTCTTCATGAGCCTCAGCAGCCTAGCAGCACCCTGGTCTCAGAGCACCTCATTCCTCTTGTGAAACTCTTGCCCCACCTCCTTGTCACTACTGATCCCAGTAACTAAACATTTATTTCCTTACCTCCTTCTATTAAGGCCACCCTCCTACTTCCTACAGGTTTTTCTGGTTTCCTGTCTCTGGGGTTTATCCACTCTCTTTCCTTGTCCTGGAAAGCCTCAACCTAAAAGCAACATTCCAAGCCTGCTTCACGGAATTCTGCAGACTTAACCCATCAATCAGTGACTTGCAACCTATAAACTCCAACAGCATGTCACTCTGACCACATGTACACTCACTAGACTTTGTTGGGTTCTAATCTGTTGTCCTTACCCTGCAAATCAAGGACGGGAACTGTCTCTTTCTCTGTGGCTTAATGCTGGGCTGGTAAATGTCTTATAGCTCGATCTACCCATTTCATTCCTTTAGACATACCTGCAACCCAAACTTTCCAGACCCAGAATGGGGGGTAGTGAGCGAGAGGGGAATCTCAAGAGTGTGCCCCCCGTCTCGGCTGGGGAACAATTAGGAATTTTTGTGAAAAAGGAGACTGAGGAGAAAGAGTCAGAATACCAAGGAAGGTGAGCCCTGGGTAAAAGTCAGCAGCCTTGGGCCCTGCCACTAAGTCCCACACAATTTGGAATCATTAGCCTTTTCCCCAAACCCTGTTCTCTCATCCATGACATCCAGAGGTGAGATTAGCTGCTCTTCTGTCCAAGAACCCTTCTAATTTGAAAAGTCCATGATTGTGGGTCACAGACCTTTCCCCACTCTCTTGGTTTTCTCCTGACCTAGCCCAACATCCTCCATTCCCCCGCAAGGCTCCTCCGCTGGTTAGGGATTCAACACAATCAACATTTACAGAGGATCCATGACGTACAAAGCGCTGTGAGGAACATAAAAATAGATGTGACCATACCACCTCCTAAGAGAAGTTAAAAAGATGAGCGGAAATGTGCCGAAGTGACACAAGGCACAACTCCACAGCAGCAGAATGTGACAGTCAAAGGACACCAGCTGATGTGAGCATAGAGGGGAGGCTAGTTCCATGTGATGGGAGTACCCACTGGGGCCACAGAGGGTGAGAAGGGGTCACCACAGCTCACTTAGGAAGCAGCAACCCTATGCCTCCCCCAACGCTGACCACGTCACAGAGGACAGTGCCCTCTGCCTTGCTGTGCCCACCTTCAGTTCCTCAGGAAAGTGCTTCTCTCCGGGCAACTTCCCCGCATCTGGCACAGCTGTCAGGAACAGGAACTCCTGTTTGGTGCTGTATGCTAAGAGACAGAGAGGTTAAAGCGTCTTCTCATGGAGGAACAGACACACAGATCAGCAGGACAGAACAAAGGCCCCAGAAATAGGCCCACACAAATATGCCCAACAGACATTTGACAAAGGTGCCAAATCAGTTCAGTGGAGGAGAGTCCTTTCAACAAATGGTGCTCCAGCAACTAGACATCTATAGAAAAAAAAGAACCTTTACTTGACCTCACACTTTATTTAAGAACAAACTCAAAATGGATCATCACTTCAATGTAATAAAACTTTTTTAAAACATAGAAAATCTCTGGAAAAGATTACCACCTTTTCTGGGCTCTCGTCAAAATCTAAAACTTAAACTCTGCAAAAGACCCTATGAAGAGGACGGAAAGACAAGCTACATGCTGGGGGAAAATATTTGCAAATCGAGTATCTGACAAAGGTCTCATACCTAGAATATATAAAGAATTCTCAAACTCTACTGAAAACAAACAATCTAATTAGACCCTCTCACACTGTTGGTTGGAATCCAAGTTGGTGCAGCCACTTTGGAAAACAGCGTGGAGGTTCCTCAAAAAGTTAAAAATAGAGCTATTCCATGACCCAGCAATTGCACTACTGGGTATTTACCCCAAAGATACAGATGTAGTGAAAAGAAGGGCCATATGCACTCCAATGTTCACAGCAGCAATGGCTACAATCACTAAACTGTGGAAAGAGACAAGATGCCCTTCAACAGATGAATGGATAAAGAAGATGTGGTCCATATATACAATGGACTACTACTCAGTCATCAGAAAGGATGAATATCCAACTTTTGCATCAACATGGATGGAACTGGAGGAGATTATGTTAAGTGAAATAAGTCAAATAGAGAAAGTCAATTATCTTATGGTTTCACTTATTTGTGGAAGATAAAGAATAGCATGGAGAACATTAAGAGAAGGAAAGGAAAAATAAAGGGGGGGGGAATCAGAGGGGGAGACGAATCATGAGAGACCACGGACTCCAGGAAACAAACTGAGGGTTTTAGAGAGGAGGGGGTTGGGGGGATGGGTTAGCCTGGTGATGGGTACAAAGGAGGGTACCTATTGCATGGAGCAATGGGTATTATAAGCAAACAATGAATCATGGAACACTACATCAAAAACTAGTGAGGTACTGTATGGTGACTAACATAATAAAAAAAATAAATAAAGGGGCACTTGGATGGCTCAGTGGGTTAAAGCCTCTGCCTTCAGCTCGGGTCATGATCCCAAGGTCCTGGGATTGAGCCCCACAACGGGCTCTCTGCTCAGCAGGGAGCCTGCTTCCCCCTCTCTCTCTGTCTGCCTCTCTGCCTACTTGTGATCTCTCTCTCTCTGTCAAATAAATAAATAAAATCTTTTAAAAAAATAATAAAAAAAATAAAAACAAGAAAATGGGTAAGACATGGACTGACATTTTACCAAAGAGGATCTACAGATGACAAATAAAACATGAAGAGATATTCAATGTCATTAGTCATCAGGCAAATACAAATGAAAACCACAATGAGATACTACTACACACCTATCAAAATGGCTGAAATAAAACATAGCAAAAACTCCAAATGCTAATGAAGATTCAGAGAAACTGAAGAACTTACATGGCTGGTGGAAATGTAAAATGGAATAGGCGCTCTAGAAAAGTTTGGTAGTTTCTTTAAAAACTAAGCATTTAGGGGTGCCTGGGTGGCTCAGTCCTTAAGAGTCTGCCTTTGGCTAGGGTAGTAATCCCAGGGTCCTGGGATCGAGCCCCACATCAGGCTCCCTGCTCCATGGGAAGCCTGCTTCTTCCTCTCCCACTCCCCCTGCTTGTGTTCCCTCTCTCATTGTGTCTCTCTCTGTCAAATAAATAAGTAAAATCTTAAAAAACAAAACAAAAAAAAACCCAAAAAAACCCCCTAAGCCTTTAACTGCCCTATGACTTAGTAATTGCATTCCTGGGCACCTATCCCAGAAAAATGAAAACTTATATCCACATAAAAACCTATGCACAAATATGTACAGCAACTTCATTTGTAATAGCCCCAAACTGGAAAAAAACCCCAAATGTCCTTCAACAGGTGAATGGATAAACAACAGTGGGACATCCATATGATGAACTACTACTCAGCAATAAAAAGGGACAAAGTATCTAGACACACAGTAATAGCTGGATGAATCTTCAGGAAATTATGTTGAATAAACAGAGCCAACGCGAAAAGGTCATATACTGTATATAACATTCTTTTTTTTTTTAAGATTTTATTTATTTATTTGACAGACAGAAATCACAAGTAGGCAGAGGGGCAGGCAGAGAGAGAGAGAGGGAAACAGGCTCCCTGCTGAGCAGAGAGCCCTATGCGGGGCTCGATCCCAGGACCCCAAGATCACGACCCAAGCCGAAGGCAGAGGCTTTAACCCACTGAGCCACCCAGGTGCCCCTGTATATAACATTCTTAAAAAATATATTAGGGAGAGACTAGACTAGTTGTTTCCAAGGTGGGTAGGAGCTAGGGGATGGAAACAGGGAGAGGGAGGTAGATATGGCTACAGGGCACCTGGGTGGCTCATTTTGCTGGGTGTCTGTGGTTGGCTTGGGTCATGGTCCCATGGTCCTGGGATCAGGCCCCGCATGGGGCTCACTGCTCAGAGGGAGTCTGTTCCTGCCTCTCTCTGCCTCCCTCCTCATGCTCTCTTGCTCTCAAATAAATAAATAAATAAATCTTAAAAAAAAAAAAAAAAAAAAAGGCAACCCAGGGCTCCTTGTGGCGATGGAGATATTCTACATTTGACTATATCAATGTCAATACTGTGATTCCAACTCTGCACTACAGTTCTGGAACATGTTACTGCTGGGGTAAAGTAAGTAAAGGGTACATAGGATTCTGCATTCTCACAACTGCATATGACTCTACAGTAATCTCAAAATTAAAGGTGTAATTTTAAAAAACCAAGTTATGGGCTCCTTGATGGCTTAGTCGGTTAAATGTCCGACTCTTGGTTCTGGCTCAGGTCATGATCTGAGTTGTGAGATGGGCTCTGTGCTTGAGAGTCTCTTCCTCTGCCCCTCCCCCACTCTTCTTTTTCTCTCTCTCTCTCTCTCATAAAAATCTTAAAAAAAAAAAACCCAGAAACCCAAGTTAGCAGTCAAGTTAGTATTTACACATTAGTTTAAAAATTCATGCAAAGTGAGATGAGATCAGACCAATCTTATAAAATTCTAGTCCAGAGTAATAATTTACAAAAAATTGCTTTGGGAGAAACACTTGGGTAGAATTTGAAGATAATTTTCAGATCTCTACAACCAAAGGAACATTTACTTTGAAAATTCTGCAATGTCTAAAAACATAATTAGAAAAAGTAGGTAGTAAAAGAAAGCATAAAAAATCAGCGTAACAGAGCATGAACAAAGGCACATTTATTTCATTTAAAAAACAATCAAAACCTCCTCCTCTTGGTCATGAACACACACTGGCCTGCAGTCCTCCACCTGCACAGGTTGGGCGGCTACACCTCCCCGAGGCCCCAGCTGCATGCTGTAAGTACACACCATGGCCTGGTGTCCTCCCTGCTAAGGGAGGGAAAAGACATCTTCCAAGTATCCGACAACAATAATAATCCCATCTCCCTGCTCATTAAATACCTTTGGGTTATCGGACTCCAATATAAACACTTGCCACACACCTTTAGCAATGCCACTAAAATCTCTGGTCTATTCTATGTCTGATTCAAAACACCATCCCAGCCAAAGCTGGATGCGGGAGCTGCGACAAGGTCAGAGAGCCCTATCTGCGGTATGAAATAGAAAAAGCATCAGTACCCTCAGGCCCTAGAGCTCCTAAATGCACTCTGAGGACTCCAAGAGACCACCCTCTATCCATTCTCCTCCCCTGCAACCTTGTCATCTTTGAGCACTCACATGCTAATGAGAAAATTCACATTCTAAGCTTGCCTGGTCACTTCGTGTTCTGACAGTGTCTTCTAAGACGAGCACTGCAATGCTTAGCTCTGCCCCAGGCCTGAATGGGTTTTGCAGAATCCTAACCTTCCTTAATAACATTTTAGATGGGACAATGTATCTTGAATTCTGAACAGCTGACTTATCAATGAGTTTCTGAACCAACCTGTTTCCAGTACTCGGGAGCACAGAGAACAGGCTTTGGAACCTGTGGAACATCTCATCTTCCAACACGACACACACCAGCCAGTCACCCACCAATTTTTACTGTTTATGATTTTGAACTTCTTGACCTTTGCTTCCCCCCTCCCCTGGGTCCTCATTCAAGTAGCTTCAAGTAAAAGTGGTAACACGGTTTACATTTGGTTTTGTTTCTGTTGCTCTGCTGACAACCATTTCTTTTCAGCTGATTCTGTTACCCCTGCTATGATCGAAGAGCAGTCTCTTTCCCCGCCCTGACCCCTTAGGAGCAAGCCTCCAGCTCCAGGATCAAGGATTCTCAGCCTGTTGTTATGGCCAGGTGTCCTCAACGTTTCAGATCACTTTGTTACACTCATCGTTATATTTACAATGTTCTATAAAATGTCTTTACATTTGCCAAGTGATGCACCACCTTGTTCCTCTAGAAGTGAACACATCTGCGAATCTCCCTATCTAGCCTGCATCAGTCCCCCAGTGTCAGTCACCTCCCCATCACATGCTTGGCAGAAGTCAGGCAAAGACATTCAAGGCATGGGTTCTGCCCTTAAGTAGCTTACAGCCAAAGTGAGGGGCTGGGTGGAGGCAAAAGATTGGATGAGGAAGTTGAACTGCGCTGAGAAGAAAAATCAGTGTCTACACATACATACCAGATTCACAACTGGATGTCGTTTTTAATTTCTAGTCTCACTATACCATGCCATCAAATTCCCATCACTGAATGGGCTTTATTTCCCTGTGATACAGTCTAGTTATAACACCCGAAACTTGGTTCCACATGACACTGAGGTTTGTTAAGCAAGGGTGAGTCGTTGCTACAAATAATTCTGTGGCTTCACTGCTGAGCTGAAGATAGACCATAACATTACGTAAAAATAAAAAATTAAAAAAGGTAAGCAAGGCTTTAAACAGCATTTCAAAACAAATCTCTTCCTATCAGTTTAAGTAGCAGGAAAATCATGAGGAACAGGTAGGTGAGAAGAAAACACACATGCACAGCGACAGACTGGAAGAGAGCCCTGCTTCCCAGAGGTCAGAGAGGCAAGAAGCAGCCCCACAGACACCGGAGTTACAATCGGCTCCCTGAAGCTGAGACCAAGATCTGCCATCTGCTTTACAGGAAATGGAACTTCACTATTTAGGAAGACTGCTGTGTTGTCAGTCTCTTCTTTGTGATGACACTTCACATTGGGCTTTTGAGTCCAAAACCAAAACATGGTGAACATGAGCGAAATAAATCCCAGCACCTGAGAAAAATATCTTCCAGACACATGTTTACAAACATCTTTCAGTTTCCTGTATAACTCCCAGATCCACCAGGGGGCTTAAATGCCTCCCTGGACAAAGGGGGCCCCCTAAGGCTAAGTGGCTGTACCCCTGAAACCACAGCCCTAGAGGGGCAGGAGATGCCCTCTCAGACGACCTCCTCAGAGACTGTGTGTTTCACTTCTCATGGGTGCTCCATCCCTGCTCGGTCACCCAGACTGGCAACACACCCTGCATGCAAGCTCATTTCCTTCATTCATAACTCAGCCAGTGAACATCCATCTTCATGATCCCCACCAGGAACTCAGGGACAATTTGATAAGTTTTGTGTGCTCAAGAAAGGCTGGGTAATGTTTTGGGCCTGACAACAAAGGGTTCTCACTCTTAAGTTTCCTGCACAGTATGGGGCTGACACTGTCCTCACTGGTAGCCGCCCTGCTTCCTGGAGGTGGGAGGGGCAGTGGGGCAAGAGTGCACTGGCTCAAGGGTTCCCACCAGAAGCTGTCTGCATCACTGTGCTCCCATTCACTAACTCCAGGTCCACACTGAACATCCAAGGGTGCAAGAACTACTTGGTGAGCAGCACCCAAGATGACCACAGATCTTTCCTCCAGCTTTAAAATCCTGAAGCTTTTCATCCTTCCCTGTAGGTTTCACCTTCTACTCCTTTAACTGTTTGCTCCACACGTCACAAAACCCTCTAGAGCTTCTACACTTTCCTGAAAGTGGTCAGCATAAAACTTGCCACATCCTAGCAGAATGACATGTCACTTCTCAGATACCACTGAGGAATGACATGCTCTTCAGAGGCAGTTCTGCCAGAAAACATTGTAATCCAAAGGCACACATCTCACTTAGTTATTTTTGGTGGAAGTCTCATAAAATACAATACCTATACTCCTAGTTTTTAAAACAAAGTAAACCATAAACAATATGACCTCATGACTTGCCTCTGAAATGCCTTCCTTACCAGGAAGTGACATTTAAGGGAATCATGAGTAAAACGTGTGGACTTGGGGTAACAACAAATTCATAGTCCCAGCAGCTGCAGCTTTTTCTATATTTGCGGTTCTCTAGAGCTGCACTCCTAGAGATTCTAACTCATTTGGTCTCTGGTTGAGCCAGGACAGAAAGCTTTACGAAGTCCTGCAGATAGTTCTAAAGTGCCCTGGGGATGAGAACCACTGCTCTAACTCTTAATGAGGGATCTCCATCAGAGGTAAGTGGAACTGGACTGAAGCAGCTGGAGAAACATCTAAATGGTCAAGCTAAGATCATGGTCTCTGAGTCCAATGACCCCCGCAGATCTGGTGCCTGCTGTTCTAACAAAGGCCCAGGTCCCTAGTGGGAGCCATCATTATCTGTGATTACCCACAATGCTCTGCGATGCTCCTGACCAACCCCTATACCTGCAGTTGACACACCCATTCCAAGTCTGTGAAAACCTTTCAGGTTCTCCCAAGAGCTCCTGGAAGGTGGGGGGGTATACCGGTCAGGCCTATCAGGCCTGAGCATAAAGAGGCTGAGTTACTGAGTGTAAACCCTAGAGGTGAGAACCACCTCTTGTGATTAATTTTAGGGCCTCCATCTTTGGCCTACACATCTGCCTTCCAGCCCTGTTGTTCCCCTACAAACAGCGTGAGAGAGGGAGAGAGAAAGAGAATGAATGGGAGCAGGACGGGTGGGGCGCTGGGCAGCCTCGGCACAGAAGGGAGTTCTCTGGGCTGGAGTGGAGCCCAGAGCCTGAGGGCCACTCAGAGGGCACCGTTCGTGCAGCTGCTGGGAGAAAGCAGGGAAAATGGCTGGAATGGATGGATATTCTCCTGATCCCCCCTTCCTAAGGGCCACCGCCTACAGGAGGATGTGTGAAGATTGTACGGAGTGAAGATGCTGTGCACACCCACGTCCGCAAGCATCCTCCCTACTAGGCAGAGGTGGTCAGGCCAGCCTGAAGCTGCTCATGAGTCTTTTCAACATCTCCTGTTTGCCTTGCCTCATTCTGCCGTGGAAGGAGTCGCCTTGGGGTGGCAGGTGCATCTCCTTAGGTACACCTGCAACCGCATAGATCAGAGAGCCTCACTGTACTCAGGTCAGTCTTGGGGCTGTCAGAGCATGTCCATTTTGTAGGGAAAAAACCACTAATGCCTAGGTAAGCAAAGGTCAAGGGCATAAACTAAAGTAAGTTCTTCTGAACCTGGGTTTGCTCTTTGGATGTCTTCATCTGACCACCTACATCATCAAGTCAAGGGGAGTTACCTCAAAGACTACCAGACACAGTATTTAAATCACCTCTTCGTGAAGCGAAGGTGACTTTCAACCATGTGACTACCAGCATGCAGCACCAGCTAGAACATGGGGATGCTGGTCAATCATGGCAACATCTCATGATGATACCGAGCAGGGCAAAGTCCCAAGCCTGTGGCCCAGGAGATGACCTGGCAAATGGTACTGCAGGGAAGAGGCCACCAAAGAAGCCCACAGAGAAAGCATGCTCCACCCATCCCCAGGGGAGATGCAGGGAAGACACTTTTGTCTTTTTCACCTCCTCTTCTGCACCTCTGTAACATGAAGGATTTGGACACCATGACCTTCGAGGTCACTTCTGGCATTAATGTTCTTTCGATTCTGTGACAAAGGTCATCTGTGCCTGTACCCAGGAACAATACCACAGCATTGTCTGGATTAGCTGAAATCCATTCCATGATGAAGCATACCTACCATCAGGGTCTTTAAAGGTCAATGTGATAAATTTGCTAGCCACCATGAACATGAAAATCACCCAAAAGCATGCGGCCAACAGAAGCCACTGGTGGTGCATGTTGTCAAATGTCAGCCATTCAGTAATTCTTCCTGGAAAACAAAAGTGAGATGACCTTGGTGCTTATAAATAAATCAATTAAACAAAAAGTAATAAAAAGAATAGGTGACTTTAGTTAACAGCTTCAGTACAAATATTTGAAATAATTTTTCTATTGATACAGGGGTATTTTGACTGAGTATTTAAATTTTATTCTTAATAATATGAAGCCATCGATCTGATAATTCAAGCAAATTTAAAATACTCTAGTGGAAAGGAGCCATTTCTGTTTGTTTTTGGAATACACGATAAGATTTTGCTTTTGCAGATTTGCCTTGGAACTCCTTTCTGGCCCAAGCTGACATCAAAGCATACTCTTAGTACCCAGCAATAGCCAGCACCTGGAAGCAGGAGGGCAGGAGTCTGCCAAGGGTCGGACCTTTGCTGCGGTAATTTGCAGAGGGCAGAAGCCATACTGAGACAATTATAAGCAGGCCTTGTGTAAAATCCTGACATGTTGACAAGATAGATGTAGCTACACCCAGAATCTCTACAACAGTGAAAATCAACACCAGAGCATCTCTGTCTCCATTCACTTGCCTGCAAGAGTCTGCGCAGAACCCTGGGGGTGGGTGTTTTTCATGCTGTCACTGCCCGGGAGTGAGGCACGGTGCGCCAATCCTCAGCAGGTCATGCTGCAGGAGACACAAAAAGACCCGGGAAGTCAGTCATTTCTTGGCAAGAGAGACAAAAAAAAGGGTTTCATTTCACCTTTAACCAAGTCAAACCAAACCACTTAAAAAGACCATGCTGGGCTGGGCTGGTTTCCACTAGCCAACTGAGGCCACCATCACTCCTGGGCAGCAGGGAGAATTGGTCCTCTCAACGAGGTGCTGATGACATATGATTTCAGAAAGCTTCTGAATGCTAGATGGGACAGAGCGCAGTGGGGACCCAGGCAAGCAACTCTCCTCCTTGTCTCAACAACATTTACCTCCTAGAATCTCACTGGAACCAGGCATCTGAAACCTGAATTCCCTCCACCAAGTGGTTATCCACCTAGACTTGAATATATCCTGTAGTGGGGAGCTTACCACCTGAGATGCAGCCTGTACATTTACTGGGTGGTTTGGGAACCACCCTGGCACCCTTATGCGCCACACATTAGACCCAGAGTGTTTCCTGGGGTCTGCAAACAGGGTTGCCAGATTAACTGCATAAAAATGTAGGATACTGGTTAGCTTTGAATGTCAGATAAATACAGTAGCTTCCCTTTATCCAGTGGAGATACTTTCCAAGACCCCCAGTGGATGCCTGAAACTGCAGAATAGTACCGAACCCTGTATATTCTGTTTTTTTCCTATACATACATGCCTATGGGAAAGTTTAATTTATAAATGAGGCACAGTAAGAGTTTAACAATGATACCCAAAAATAAAACAGAATAATTACATCAATATACCATAAGGAAAGTAACATGAATGCGGACTCTCTCTAAATATCTTACTGTGCTGTACTTACTCTCTTCCTGTGATGATGTGAGGTGGTAAACTGCTTATGAGAGGAGAGGCAGTGAGAAGAAGGACGTGGGCACAGTGATGTAGCATTAGGCTACTACTACTGACCTTCTGACCATTCGTCAGAAGGAGGATCATCTGCTTCCAGACTGTGGCTGACCACAGGTAACTGAAACTATGGAGAGTGAAATCGCAGATAAGGGGGGACTACTGTGAATAATGTCTTAGTAGAAGTATGTCCCAAATATTTATGGGATATACTTACACTTTAAAGAGTGACTTGTTGTCTCTCTTGAGTTTCAAATTTTACTGGGAGTCCCAGATTCTCTCTGGCTGTAGTGCCCGACACGGGGCATGCCCACCCCTTTCTAGCTGCCTGAGGCCAGCCTGCCTGAGTTGAGTCTCCCTTCCTCCCTCAGTCCTGCTCCTCTGAGGCAGCAGGGCACAAAGGAGAGCGCCTAGAGCGCCCCACCACTCACCAGTTCTGTGACTCAGGAAGTCACTTAACCTCCCTAGGCCTTGATTTCCCACCTCTGAGACGAGGCCCTCCTCCTTCTAGGGTGGTTGTGAGGATTAAATGACCTGTATCTGTGCCACTAGGAACAGAAACTGACCCTCTCTGACTTTCCAATTTGATCTGCAAAACAGCCTTCTAAGTGTAGTGGCGAGAAATTAATGTGACAGTGTAGTTTGCCCCAAGAAGAGGGGAAAAGAAAGCCAGACTCATTCCAGGGGACTCAGGTTCCTAATTTTTCTCTTCCAGAGACAAGTGAGGCACAGACTGTGCCCAGCAGCATAGGGCACTGCAGTTCTTTCCCTATAAGACAGTGATACTCAGAGGGGTCTATCCCTATGGATCACAGTGGGAGCACTCCATTGAGAAACCCGAAATGCAGGCCTTTTCTTAACAAAAGGGCAGGGGGTAAAGGAGCCAGTGTGGACTGGAATGGGAAAAAAGAGAAAGGAGGCAAGTACCAGGCAAGAGGTAGGCAACCAGAACACAGGGGTATTGTTCCCTTGTACCAGTTTTCAGGAAGCCTTAGAGGCTGAGGAACACTCTGGGCGCTGAGTGGCCTGGGGCTTGCAACCCATGCTTTGTTACAAGAAGTGCTGTGGACCAGCAAATACAGATGAGGGGAGCCACCTGGGGCTGCCTCCCTCACACCCACTTACTCTGCAGAGCAAGAGAGCCTCCTGGCATTGCTGGCTCACGGTGCCCTGCTCTGCTCAGACCTAGACATCCGGCCCTTGAGCACCCCCCTGGGCATCAAGCCAGCACCTGGGAGGTATTTATGGCTTAAGAATCTAGTCTTTCCAGTGGGAGCTAGTCCTCTGAAGGGATCTGAGTGTGCCCACTGAGCTCACCTCCACATAAAAGTAGGGAGACCATGAATAAACAGACTTACATGAAAATGAAGGGTCATATCAACTGCTCTTCAGGAAGCCAAGCGGCTCAGGGATAGGATTTCTACATCTGGGCTCATTGAGATGTAAGATCTGCATCACGCTGAGGCCATGCCTGCCTTCCTAAGGCTTGGATTTTAATTTCAAGCCAGGAATGCTTTACTCTTTCACCCAGACCTGGGGTTGGGGGTGAGGAGGGTCTAATTCTCTTCTCCCAGAAAATCTGCCCAATTTTCACATCTGTAAGGATAAAACCACTGTATACCTACCTACCAGTGTGTTGTGAGGCCCCCATGAAAGAGAGCCTGCCCAAGTACCTCCTCTACAACTTACAGTCCATCAAGCAAATGTCTTCTTTCCGATGGGGAATTTTACTTCAAACACATTCAACTTTGAAAGTGAATTCAAGTAAACCCCTACTAAACTAGGACATCTAGAGTGCCCTTTCCTGCTCTGTGCCTGGCCACTGCACTGAGTCAGGAGAAGGGAGGTCTGCAAGGGCCCCCACCTCCCTTTCATCCCTGTCACAGCACCCCCGGACAGGGCAGAGACAGCCCAAGACATCTGGGGCCCCTGATAAGGGCAGCAGATGTGGAAAGGATCATGTGCATAAGCCCTAGCCCCTGCCAAAAAATGTTCTCTTGACAAGAGGACTATAAAGTCACAGGCCCTGACCAGTGTCTTGGGTAGGATTGCCCAGACTAGACAGAAGTCTGAAAATGACTCTGTGCCCTGTTGCCTGAGAGTGGTCACTGTGAAAGGCAGCTAGGGAGGGAGCGCTCTGTGCTGGCCAGCAGGCTTCTGTAAATGGGAAGTAAGCAGGGCCCACCCCTGCGCAGCACAGGAAGATGCAGCTCTCTCTACCGCCCACTCTGTTGGAACCCCCAAAGCCTCTCTCCATCACCCTACCTAGTTTCACATCCTGCACTGTACCTACCACAGCCTGTTTTCACTTGTTCACCATCTGTGCCCTCACCACCCCCCTAGAATGTTAAATGCCCCCGCGTACACCAAGGACTAAAATAGTGCCCGGAACTCATTAAAACAACAACCATTATTTGCTGAATGCCTATATCCACCTAGAAACTTATTAGGAAAACTCAGGGGAGCTGAAAGGTACTTCTGAAGGCACCTTTTCCAACCTTCTATCTGAGAGTTCCCAAACTCTTTAAAGGATGAGGCCCCCAATTTCAACAACCTCAAAATATTTCTCCAGTATCCACATGAAAGTAGTTACATATTTAATACCTATTATCTGAGACTAGAAAACAATTAAAAGCTACTAGGACTTCAGCATTACTTGGAAATAAAATTACATTTTATAAATCACAGCACTTAACATGCATTTGAACAGATATACAACTAAAATATACTGACTGGAGGGGTGGTTAAGAAATCTCACTGGAGTCCAAAAAAAATTTTTTTTTAATTTTAAATAAAACCATGTGCTGAAGGGCAAGCCAATTACAGAGATCCAAAATGTCAACTTATATCCATAAACGAAAAGGGCAACTTGCAAAATTGGACGTATGAGCCTCTCTGTAAAAGTTATATTTGTGAATGTATGTGATTATATACATATCCAAACACATACATGCATATAATGCACAGAATAAAATCTTGAGACAATGAAAGCAGTTATTTTTTGCTTTGTACACTTACATATTAAAAAAAATTTGCAACAAACGTGTTTCCATTTTATAGTAGAAACTAATAAAATATAAAAGATGCCACTCATATACATGTCCCCTGGTGTTTTATTTCTGCTGTTTATTTTTCCTACCTGATCACTACCGACTGCAGTTTCCTTACCACTTGGTAAAGTGTGGGAAAGGATGGTAAATACTTTCCTAGCTGGGAGAAAATGTGGTTAAGTGACAAAATCAACATGTATCTGAATATTTAGTAAACACATCTCTGTCTTCATTAGTTGTTTTTTTTTTTTAAGATTTTATTTATTTGAGAGAGAGGGAAAGAGAGGGAGAATATAAGCAGGGTGAGAGGCTGAGGGAGAAGCAGACCCCCACTGAGCAGGGAGCCCGATTTCTGGCTTGATCCCCAGGATCATGACCTGAGCCAAAGGCAGCTGCTTAACCAACTGAGCCACCCAGGCACCCCTGTCTTCATTAGTTTTTATTTAGCTTTTAAAAATAATCTAACATTTAAAACATAAAGTGCAGAGACTACTGTAACAAAAACAGATTCTTGGCTCAATAGTTTTGCTGTACTTACTTGAGTGATTTTTTTAAAGGAAAGGAAGTGTTAAGAAAAGAAGGTTGGAGCCCCTCTCTGCCCCCCACCTGGCTCTAATCTCCTTGCACCCCAGACCTACTCCTCCATAAAGGCTTTTCACTTTGTCAGACTCAAGTCCTCTGACAGAAGCAGCAGCAGGGGTTTGGAAGATGGTCTTCCCTGCAGAGAGAAAGGCAGGGCCAGCTGCAGAAGCTGGGAAAGCATGTTCACCCAGGGCCTGGGTGCTTTCTAGGAGGCTCCTGCTGGGCGAATAAAGCCTGGGGTGGAGAGATGCACTATTTTTAAGTGCCTACCTTTTCCCCCTCATGGTCTATAGTGAAAAAATTCACACATTACACAGAGAATTAAGAGAAAAAAGCTGCTGAGGCCAAAATTTAAATAAACCAGGACTTGTTCACGGAGTCATATACTACGTGCCCCAACCAGAACCAGTAAGAATAAAGCCTGGTCCCTCTCAAGTACCCCTCCCCTTAGGCCCAATATTGCTACAGTTCATAACATATGACACACAAACACAAGTAGATGTATATCTGCATATACTTTTAAGGACACAATTAAAAAAATAATTATTTGCCAAATTCATCATGAAAAGTTTTATTCATCCACCACACAAAACAGGTGCCAGGGATACGACCCTGTTCCAAACCAAACACATATGCAGTTTATGTCCTTACATAGCCTGCTGTCTGACAGAGAGAACCCACATGCATCAAAGAGTCTATCCCAGAAGTGGTGTGAGGCGGACATATGGCTCTATGAGAGGGAAGAAAGGACAGAACCTGGGTGGAGAGGTCAGGGACAGCAGTTATGTAAGGAGGTACCCAGACCAGGGGACCAGCAGGGAATGGAGGCCTGGGTGTTGGGCAGGAGAAGTCAGGGGCCCTTGAGTAACCAAAGAAATCCCCAGTGGCTGGAGTTTCCAGGTCAACGTCAGAGATGAGCCAAAGCAGCTCTGGTCAGAAAACACTGATTCCTATAGAGCATTTATGGAGTTTAGTTTCACCTTGTGAGCAATAGAAAGCCAGTGAAGAGTTTTCTGTGAGAAGAGTGATAGTAGTGTCATGATTCTGATTTAAATTTTGAAGGTATTTTTCCAACAGCACAGTCAAAAATGTAAAGCACTATCCACTTGGCCATTCCCCAGCCTCAACATCATTTCCATTAGTGCAGCAGGAGTGTTCTAACACAGCTAAGTGTTCCACATCACCACCTGGACCTAACCTCCTAGATGATGACGACCACCACCACCGCTGCCACAATCATCATCATCATCATCATCTCCATCAAGGTCTCTAAAAATTAGCATGTAAACTTGTAAGATCCACAATATCTGACAGGTTGGGTTTTCACAAATCCTGAGGACTAGGGGTTCCAGTTAGCCATAGCATGCTTCTGCTTTATAAATTCATGTACTCTGAACCTAGGTATCTACCTAACAGTGGCTAACTTTATGTGTAGGCCCGTGGTTCCAGCCCTGGGTGTACATTAGAATCACCTGCGTAGCTTTAAAAAAATATAGCAATGTGCTGGGCCCCAAGAACACTGAACCCAAGACAACACATATTGCTGGAGATGGATCCAGGGCTTGTTTTATAAGCTCTGCACAGGATTCTAATGAGCAGCCAGGGCTGAGAACTGCTGGTCCAAGCCCCCAGCCCTTTAAAATGCAGATTCTAGGCCTTCTGACATAGGAACCATTCTCCTTCCACCTCCTTCCTTTATAAGAATGAAAACTAGTAGCAAAAGAATATCTGTCAAGGAGCGTCCTTTGATGCTATGATAAAACAGGTTAAAGAGGTTTAATTAGAATCAAAGACCTCCATCACCATGCCTACTTACTCTTCTTTCTAGCCCTCCTACCTATAGGTAACTAGATTCTGTAGAATTAGGATTTGGTCTGACCTTGGAAAAATCATAATAATTTGCCCTATTTATTTGAACAAAATGAAAGGCATTTCAAATTCCCTTAGGCCCAGCCCCTCTAAACCCACCCCACTAACTGCATTGTTTGCCTGAATATACCAGTTCTCCATGGGGTTTGCCTCCTATACAAAGATGACACCCTCAAGGCTCATGATTTCTGTGTGCAGAGACTGGGACCTGAAATGAACAGTCCTTCCAACATGGCTCTGCCAAGGGCCACTGCTCTCTCTGCAGCCCAGTGACAAATGGCCTCTAAAAAGCTTGATATTTTCTGTAATTAACTCTCCTTTGTTCAAGGAGCCAAGACAACTCCCAAGTTGCCTCTTGCAGCTAATGGTGGCAAACCTGACTGTGCCCAGGCCCCCTGTTGGTCATGGTGTGCTGCCCTGAACTGAGCCCCTGGGGCCCCCAGGAGACAGCATACCCGTCTTCTGAGCTTTCCTATGTCCAGTCATTAAATGAGATTTTTCACTTGGAGATGTCAGGTTCTGAAACCAAGCCAGAGGGCTGGACTCTTAGAAAACCCACAAGTCAGAAATGATGGTTAAGGTGGTTTCCCTTCTTACGGGGAAAGCAGGGTTAGGGAAGCAAAAACATAGCTGAACCTACCAGAAATCTTTTTTTTTTTTTTTTTTTTTGTCCTCTAAACTAAAAGAAAGACAGCACACATTTTCATGTTTGTAATGACTACCAATGGGTTTGGTTTGGTATTGTTACCATCTTCTGGTGCAAATTCTCTCTCCTCTACATTTTCAAAAAGATGCTTGTAAATCCACATTGGTCAGCTGCCAATAATATTTCTGGCAGTGGCTTTTCCTTGTGTTTGAGCTGTCCTCCAAAAGCACAAAACAAAACCTTTTTGGGTTTTTGCTGAAGAGCTTGACTTCCACCTGCCTTGTTCTACTTTTGCTATGCATACTCACTTATTAAAGGTTCTGCAAAGTTCTGTGGTAAATAAGCTCATTTAACTGTTTAAATAGCTTTTCTCCAAATGTCTGTCATTCATTCAGCATTATTGACCAAGGGCCCACTTTAAGCTAGGAGTTGTTCTAGGCCCTGGGGATATGGCAACATATATACGCCCTGCTCTCATGGTACTTCTATAGAAGCAGACAGGGAAATAAACAGAGCTGTTAATATATAAGATTACACAAAGTGAGAAGGGCCACGGTTAAGGGGAATCTTGAGAAGAGACTGAACAGAGTGAGGGAAATCATGCAGCAGCTTGGTCTGTGTCCCAGGGTCCCAAAAGCAGCAAGGAGACAGTGACCCTCATGCCGAGTAGCCCAGATAAAGAATCCTGTCAAGGGTCCTTTACTGAGCTGGAAACTCCTGGATCCCCCACCCCCACACATACATAACCCAGGGAAAGGACCACGTGTCTGGTGTTCAGTTTTTAATATTCATTCAAAATACAGCCAGGCACTAAAGGAAACTTCACAAAAAAAGCCTGGTAATGCACAAGGAGTTGGTAGCCCTGGGGTGGGGGATTAACAAGAAGGGAAACTCGGTAGTTAAGGGCTAGAGCAACCAGAGACATTCTACAATCAAACTTTCCGTATCTTTGGATTTTGAACTAAAATGTTACCACCTAATCAATAAAATTACTAGATTACAACGTGATAGAACACTGCATGTGAATTTATAAAATATGTAAAGTGCTATGACACTCGTGGTGATTTTTAAATTCATAGGGTTTCTGCGATCTAAGTTCAGGAACTTCGTCTACTTGGTCATAATCATTACAACTTACTGTCTTAGAATAACTGATCCTCCTTAGTTATCAGCATGGAAACACACTCCTTACTCTGTCCAGCTGAAGGTTGTATCTGAGATTAAGACACATTCTCATGCAAGTGCCTGGATGGCTCAGTTGGTTGAGCCTCTGCCTTCAGCTCAGGTCGTGATCTCAGGGGCCTTGGGTCAGGATCCGTGCTCAGTGGGGAGTCTCCTTGTCCCTCTCCTACTGCCCCCCCCACTCATGTTCTCTGTCTCTCTTTCTGCTCTCTCTCTCAAATGAATAAATAAAATCTTAAAAAAAAAAAAAAGATTCTCATGAGTAACAATAATGAACAATAATAAACTTCCCGGGGTAACTACATGTCAGGCACTGCTCTTAGCAAACCAAAGACACCTAATCCCCAGCCTGGGAGGATGCTTCTACTATTATATTTAAGAAAACATTTCTAAGTGTACACACTCCTATTTAAGAACTTTAAATTTCATAAAATCTCCTTAAAAGCAAGTGAGATCAGTAAATGACATGAATCTCAAATAACTAGTGAGCTCACATTCTCCTTCACATACCTTCTGAGGCCTGGGATCCACATTTGCTTGCAGAATTTGCTTTGCCTGAGATTCCTAGTTCCTCCTGTCACTGTACAGGAAAATTAAAAAAAAAAAAAAAAGCACCATTAGAAGTGATAAGATTGACCTACTTAGTACAACTTGGTTTATACTTGGGAGATAGTATAAGTGGTTTTTACCACTTATAATAGTATAAGTGGTTAACTAACCACTTTGATTATTCAAGTGCATTTTGTACAACAGGTCTCTTACAGAGGTGGGTTATACCTAGAATTCCTGGCAAATGAATAAATATTCTAAAAGTGCCAAAAGAGATAAATGTTTAAAAGACTGTTCCCTGTAACTTCAAAGGAAAAATAAGTTTTGTAGCAAAAAGAATCAAATATATTTGACATTGGGTAAAGAATTCCTGTGCAGGATGATGGGATGATGAAATCTTCCAATGCAAGATGTTCTCTGGATTTTGAATTTCTTTAGGCTGTAACACCCTGGCAAATTCTAGCCAAATGACACATCATGAATGAATAACTGGAAACAAGCCGAACTTGTGGAATTAGAGAGATTACAGATTTAATAGAGTCGGCTAGCAAAATAAACATACAACTCATTTAACACATAATATAGCCCAAACTGCCTGGGATACATGTAGCACAGTCTAGCTGTGTTTCCTTTTACTCTGAAGAGCTCAGTGTTAAAACTAAAAGCAATTTCATGTTATGCAAATGGAAAGATTAAGCTTTATGTACTCAACATTCAGATTCTTCCAGACCTGTATCAGAAGAAAAGACTCTTCATTTCTGCAGTCTTGAAGGTCCTGAATTCATCCCTCTCGTTTCTATTCTGGCTCTCTCCCACCTTTTTATTGTCTAACCTCAAGCATTTGAATACTGATCTGAATATACCTGCAAACTGCCTGAGAGATTGCCTGATTCATTCTCTCCTTTGTTCAATTTTGCAAACCCTCCAGTTTTCATCTTGGGCAAGGAAAGGATTTTTCTCTCAGGTATTTCTTTGAGATTCTCTTCTTTGGGGTCAAGAGCAAAGATGGAAAGATTTTTCTTTCCATCTTGAAATTCCAATTTTGAGCCAAGATGGACTCATCATTACAGTGGTAGAAAAGAGAGAAGACTATTTTCTCTCCTTGTATCTTTTCTTTTTCACCCCGACCCTGAAAATTTCACAGCGAATAGATACTGGAGATCAGCAAGGGGACCGAAACTGAGCTGCCTAATTTTAAGAATGTCTGAGACATTTCTCATCCTGGCAGTTAAAACTGACCAATACCCAACTCTTCATGGCCCAAAGCACCAGACTCTCTGAGTGTTTCAGACAAAAAAGCCCTTTATGACAGTCCTCCCCCTTAGCTAACCAGACAGAACCTGGCTGCACTGCTTTCTATTCACTGCCCGGCCCTTTCCTGCCTTCAGAGACTTGGAAAACAAAAACGACAGCTTTTGGAAAACCTGGTTCATCTTCCCAGCCAGAAGTGCAGAAATTTATACTTGAACCTCCAACTTCTGACCAGCCTCTCGACTGTCAAAATCAGGGCTGAGGGCACTTTGCAGCCTATCTGGCAGGAAACAAGCATTTCCGACCATCCTTTCCCCTGTCACCCACCAAAGACATACTTAACAGTGCACTTAGGAAAGGGTGTGCATGTTCCTTCTTCCCTGCCCTCTCTCTCTCTCTGCATGTTCTTTGCACCCAAGGGGAACATTTTCTTCCTCTCTGCACCGAATCACAAATGCAAATTCTCAGCCAAAAATGAAAGAAGTAAATTACAGATCACCAAGTATCTATCATTTCACCGGTCACACCACCCCGCAACAAGGACGCCGCCTTATTGCATAATTAACGTGATGGAGGTTCTTCTCATTAATCCCACCAACTAGAGAGGTGCTCAAGTCACCAAAACACACAAGGATGGTGCTCACAAAGAAACGCTGGTTCGCCCCGTTTTCTCATCCACCCGGGATGGGGTAGGGGCCGGGGCCCCGGGGTCCACGAAACCCACACCCGCCAGTCCCAGAGCTCACCCACTGCGGAGCCCGAGCTCGCCGGGGTCCTCTAGCCCTTCCGCGCCGCTGGCGGCGAAGCTCTGCCCGGACCTCGCGGGCCCGGGGGCGAAGCGCGCGGGGTCCTGGCGTCCCGGGAGCGCTGGAGGCCCGCCCCGCCGCCCGGAGGCCTCGGCGCCGCCACCGGCGGCCTCCGCGCCGCGGCCCGCCCGGCCCGGGATGTGGCGGCGGCGCGCCGGAAGGAGAAAGCCCGGCGCGCGAGGTCCCCTCGGGGTCGGGGGGGGGGGGGGGGGCGCCGCCGCCCCCCCCCCCCGCCCCCTCCCCCCACCGCGCGCGCGCCGCCCGAGGCCGCGCGGGGAGACGCGGCCCAGGGGCTCCAGGACCCGGTTTACCCCCGCGCGTATCCGCGGTCGATCGTGCGCCCAGTCCTTGTGCCTCTCGTCTTCCCCGTCGGAAAGAAACTCCATCCCGGGAAATTAGAGAGAGATGTGCGGCCGAACCAGATCCCGCCGGGTCTCCATTCAGAACACAGGTATGATGTTTGAGAAGAAGAAAAAAAAAAAAAGCCCAAACTTGGAAAAATGAAGGAAAAAAAAAAATCCAAACTTGAAAAAGACAAAACTGCTTGAGTTTGGGGTACATCCCAGCATTTTCTGATCACCCTTCCTAGTAAAAGCAGGACCTTCTGTTCTTTGCAGACCCCCCCTCAGCTGACAGTCTAGGGGATGTTAACTGTTGTCTGGGTCTGTAGTTGGTTAATGCACAGCTGAGAGAGGCCAGAGCAGTCCCCTGCCCTATAGCGCTGTGCCTTCTTAACCTGCAGAAGTAAGACGTTGAGGTTTTAGAGCCTGGTAGAGAAGGCGGTCCCAAAGCTGGGTGCGGGGGCGGGGGGGGGAGGGGGAGAGGTTATTGCCCTGGAAAACGTAAACTAGTTTTGTTTTGATCTAACCTGCATGCTTGTTAACTCCCTAGTTGTATCCATTTAGCAAACGAAGTAGTATAGATATGTGAATGCACACATAAAACTTGTCAAGCTTTCAAGGTACCAGGTGTTTTTGTTTTCTGTGTGTATGTGTGTGTGTGTGTGTGTGTGTGTGTGTGTGTGTGTGTGTTGTGTTGTTCTTTGCCTACCCTGTTGGTTCCCTTCTCAAGAAGTTAAACGTACTATGGATGGGGCACCCTATTTCAGAATTTCACTTTTAACATGGTTACTGACCCTTGTGGCTTCAGGATGGCAAGGTGGTTTACTTGGTCTTTTGCTCATTCATCCCGGTATTTATTCAGCCCTTTCTCTGGGCGCTATGGTGACATGAGACCGTTTCCTTTTTCCTTGAGGATTTGAATGGACACACAGACACGGGAGAAACATAATTAGTAAGTTTGGAGCTCAGATGAGACAGAACATAATGCAGGGTTGAAGGGTCCAGGCTCTGGGAATTAGGCCTTGCAGATTCAAATCTTTACCGCACCACATACAGATTGTGACCCTGTCAAATTCTTTTATTGTTCTTTGCCCCATTTTCTTCAGCTATGAAGTGAGGATATGGTACTAGAGAATATTGGAGATAATGCATTGAAAAATGCATAGCATAGTTCTCTCCCAGTGGCAAATATTATGATAAACTACTTTTATTGTTATTATTTATTTATTGCATTCCTAAGGTGCTGTTCAAATATTAAAAAATACAGTTCTTTTTAGGGCTTCCACATTGGTGACTAAAGTAACTGAGTATTTTTCTCTCTTTTTAAAAAGATTTTATTTGTTTATTTGACTCAGCGCAAGCACAAGCAGGGGGAGAGGCAGGCAGGGGAGAAGCAGGCTCCCTGCTGAGCAAGGAGCTCAGGACCCTGGGATCATGACCTGAGTGGAAGGCAGCTCCTTAACTGACTGAGCCACTCAGGCACCCCTAACAGAGTATTTTTCTTAGGGTATTTCCCAAATTATTTTAGTTTTTTGTTTGTTTGTTTCTATAAATGGACTTCAGGAAAGTATTAATATTTAGTCTTTATTACCGGAGGATAGTTTGTAATGTAGTGGTTCTCAAAGTGTGATCCTTGGACCCTTTGGTCTATAATGTCAAGACTGTTTTCCCAGTAATGCTATGACCTTGGTTGTCTTCACTATTTAGACATTTGTCCTGATGGCACAAAACTAATGGTGGGTGAAATTGATGACAGTTAACATGAATCTAGGCAATGGAATAAAATGGGATTGGTGGGCATTGCATTTGTCACCACCAAACACTTACAATAAAAACAAACAAAAAAGTGTCACTGAAGAATGTCCTCCATGAAGCAGTCATACCCTTTGGTACAGGATGGGAAGTACACACAAGGCCTCCTGCTGCATACCAAAAGTTTGGTGGTTGTCTGGAGGCAGAGCTCTTGGGTGATGGTTTGCAATGCCTTTTTTTTTTTTTCCCACGGAACACCATTTTTTCTTGAAAGAAGAACTGACAGACAAACTGTGGTTACACAGACTTGGGTATTTGGCAGACATTTTCTCCAAAATGAATTAAATGAGCCTGTCACTTCAGCAAAACAACTGATGGTATCTGTTACCAGTGATAAAAATTCAGGCTTTCAAGTGAAAATTCAAGCTTTTGGAAAACCCGTGTCCGCCACTAGGAGTTTGACAGCATCCCAATATTTAACAGTTTTTCTGATAAAATCAGTGGTGATGCTAACAACCTTTTCTTTCATTCTTTTTTTCTTTCTTTCTTGGTATATTGTATGCTGGTAGATTGTGGCTCAGTAAGAAATATTTGTCCTTTTCCAGGGTTCCTGAGGCAGAGCTTCTGAAACTTTTGTAATTTCCTGAATGATGGAGTGAAAGGAGCATTTTTTGTTGTAATAGGTAGCCTTTGTTTCTGGTTCCTGACGCAAAGCTCCTAAAACTCTTGGAATTTCCTGGGTGATAGGAGCATCTTTTGTTCTAATGAGGCAACTCTAGCTAGCTGCAGATGGGGACTGGTCACTGCAAGGACCAAACCTTGATTAGAAGCCAAGGACTTTCAGCCCCACCTTTCCCAACCTGTGGGAAGAGGTGAGGGGCTGGAGAATAAGTTAATAATCGATCCTGCTGATGTGATGAAACCTCCATAAAAACACTTAAATGACAGGATTTAGAGAGCTTCCACATTGGTAAGCTCATTGAGGTGCTGGAAGAGTGGCCCTATATATAGAAAGGGCCTGGAAGCTCTGTGCTCACAGCCCCCCATAACCTGGCCTAGGAATCTCTTCCATTTGGCTGTTCCTGAGTTGTGTCCTTTATAATAAATCAGTAATAATAAGTAAACAGTTCCCCTGTGTTTTGTGAGCTATTCTAGTATAATCAAAAGTGAGAAGAGGGTGTTGTGGGAACCTCTGATTTGTAGTCCTAAATTGGGGACCCAATATTTGTGTCTAGCGTCTGAAATGGGAACATCCTTGTGGGACTGAGCCCTTAATCTTGTGGAGTTTGACGCTAACTCCAGGGAGTGTCTGAATAGAATTGAATTGTAGGACATTCAGTTAGTGTCTGGAGAATCAGAGAATTGGTTTTTGGTGTTAGAAAACACCTAGGCTGATGAATTTTAATGTCACAGAGTGTGAAAGTTCATTGACAGGGTTTTAGATTCCACATCATACTGAACTTTAAGAAACTATGACTTGCTGAGTTCAGGTTTAGTATTAAAAACACTCAAAATTATCTGAAAGATTAAAATACTTCTTCCTTTTCTACTTATCTGCATGAAGAAGGATTTTCTTCATATGCTTTGACCAAAATAACATTGCAACAGATAGATGCAGAAAAAAGTATATGAATCCAGAAATCTAGTAAGCAAGGCATTAAAGATATTTGCAAAAAGATAATGCTAAATTTTTGGTTTAGAAAATATAGCTATTTTTCCTTAAAGTATGTTATTTATGGTACCATATAATGGGAATGTTATTATTTTCAAGTGAATTAATAAATAAATGTTTTAAATTTCTCAGTTTTAATTTCTGAATCTGTAAGTTAAGATAGATATCCAGATGAACAAAAGCTCTTTGCATTCCTTGATAATTTTTAAGACTGTAAATGAATCCTTAGACCAAAATATTTGAGAACTGCTGTACTAAAAGAAACCCAGATTCTTAATGGTAAAAGAAAAATGTACCAGATTCTTTCACCTTCCACAACTACCAAGTATATATCTTTAAAGTCAAAGCTGGAGATGATACTATGAAATAAGGGACGTTAACCACTGACCCAAAATATTGCCATCTGTTTGAATCAAATCAGTGAAATAAGCAAATAGATACATCTAGAGAAACCTAGGTGTCCTTGTTGGGATACGGGTTATATATGAAGAAACATCCTATGAAAGTAAGAATTTGCCAGTTCCTCTAAGCATTCTATGGTAATAAGATTTTATAAATTTCTCTCCAGTACTTTGTTTTGGCCTAAGCACAAGTGGACTTGGGGTCCAAATGTCAGGTACATTGTTTTTCTTCTTACCACTTTCCCATCTTCTCACTATGCCACAGGCATTGTCCATGTCAGCCCAGGCAGGAGACAGTTCCCACAATACTGGCTGTCCCCTTCCTGAGCTCTTATCTCAGTGTTCACAACTGACACCAGCCACTCACAGGCTTCCTGGGGTTTTCTTTTAAAGAATGTGTTTGGATATTCTTTCTCAGCCACCCTGGACTGTAAAGGCAATGAAAAATTGCACTTGGCTCCTTGGTGGGTATATGAGGAGAGTCAAAATGAGATGTTTTAAAATGGAGTCGAAGTGAGATTTTTTTCCCCCCAGGCTGAGGCTTTAGAAGAGCTGTAGTGGCCACAACCAGGCATCTTTATGTAGCCCTAGAACTGCGAAATGTTCAATTACTTAGAGGGTTCTTCTCAGTAGACATGTTGCAGAGAGGTAGGGATTATACAGACCCCCAGAAGTTGGTGTCCCTTTCCAATTTATAGATGGCCCTGTAATTCAAAAGTTTTTCATTCGTTTGTCTGTTTACCAGGAGGCAGTGGAGTGAAATAGGCTGGATTCCATGCTCTGACCCTCAGAAAACCTCCAGTGAGTTTATTACAGTCTTTATGGGGGGTTGTTTTGTCTTGTAAATAGTTTCTCCTAAATTAGCTAAAATATGATAGGGCTTCCCGTTAGGAAAAATTTGCCAAGAGGATTTATTTCATATTTTAATTCTGATGCATTTTTAAGACCTACATTTTGAATTATTGAAAATATAT